GTATATTTATCTTATCAAACAGGTTCAACAGGTAGAAAACGTAGAGTTAACTAATTCCTTTCACAATTATATTAATGCCCTTACCACCTTTTTACTAAGACGGATTGTTAAATGACTGTTTAAAGACTACTGAGTAAATTATGCAATAGAAAACAAGAAAGACACCAGACCCTAACCAACATTAGGCATTATCTTAGTCAAAGATACAGGACCCTGAACCAGTAGGAATATAAACATCCACTTACTTCATTTGAACTATTTGATGAAAGCAGTTACCAAGGAAACAGCTGATAATGTTTCACCCCACCCCTATGTTTTCTTTCGGAACTACGGACAAAACCTGAAAGTCATTAAATATTGCCGCAAATTTACATTTCCCATCAGATGTGCATTGCTCGCTGATGAGACTTAAAGGACATTAACTGAAGAAGACAAGATAACAGGCATACTCCTCAAGTAATATTCCTTGAGAAGTAGGGCACTTTGTTTTTACACACAACCCCTCAATAAAAGCAGCACATGACTATTCTGAAGGAGTAAACATTAGTCAGCCAGAAAAGGACTAAGAGCAAAAGTCTTAGGTTTTGTACCAACAGCTCACTTTTGAAAGTTTCCCACGCCTGGTAATGCTAATCCTGTCCAATTTCTGTGCCCTTTGTTTTCCGGGTTGCTCTGCTCTGTTCCTGCTCTCTAGCTGCTGAGACGCAAACCTGTTTCTGCCTCTCCAGCTCAGCCTCCACTTCCTGCTTGGCTCTCCTCTGTGTGGTCAACTGCTCCTGCAGCTCCTGAAGCTGCTCCCGGGAAGATTCCGACTCTGCCAGCTGCTGGTTCTCCACTTCCTGTTTGTTTCAATAAAAAGACAGGATAGGCAACATTCAACAAGAAGTCAAACTGAGAATTTTAGACTTTTGTATTTTTCGCAGGTAGTTGCTAAAATGCGGACCAGCAGGTGAAAAAAGCAGTGTGCTCTTTCTAAACATTGCCTGCAGTAGAACAAAACCTGGCAGACTACAGTGTATTACGTACTGTTAATCCTACTTGACCCAGCCTGTGATGTTTGCTTGCTCCTGTTGGAGCACTGTGGAACAAACTAGCATTGCCATGGCAGCTGGCCACACCTCTTACCACCTGTCAGTGTCTGCTGCCACAAATATTCAATCGGACAAGAGACCTGTACCACCTGGCAATTTATGATCACGCCTGCCTCAGGTGGTTCAGGTTTAAGTTCTGCTTGGACTATGCTCTGTAGTATAGAGTCAGCTCTATGAGTCTACTTGGAAAGTCCCTGTATCCTTAGCTCACAACCCGTATTCCCGAGTTCCCAACCTTGCAGTGTATGTTCAACTCTCATGCCTTGGTACTGTGTATTTCTCGTGCTATAGACCATGAAACAATTACTAAAGTTTTCAATTTCCATTTGAAACATGCAATGGTCAACTCATTTCTTTCTCCTAGCAAATGAATTGTGTTTTTTCTAAGCATGACTTCAACTGAGCAGTGAAATACATTAAATTATTGAATTATTATGGATTACCTCCTGGCTAATTTAGTCGTACACAGAGCTACACAGCGGGTCACCTTTGTGCAACGGTGACGAGCAGACAGGATCAAGCCGGCAGACCCTGACCTGTATCTCTGTGCGAAGCTGCTGGATTTGGCCCAGGAGTTTCTGGATCTCCTCCCTCTGCAGATCCCTCTCGTGCCGCAGCTCCTCCAGCTCCATCGTGCTGGCTGTGTGGCCGTCCAGCCCCTCCAGCCCTGAGCCCTCCTTCAGACTGCTGATCAGCTTTTCCTTGGACTGCAAAGCACAATTAGAATACAGTCTGCAAACAGGAAAGGTAGAAACACGCACTAGCTTCTTCTCCTTTGCTGCCATTCTGAAGCCCATGAGCTTGCAGACAACTACTTGCTTACTACCTGAGGACTAACCACGAACGTAACATCCAGTGTGTTACAGAGTCACAATACTGAGAAGGTATTACAGGTCGAGTGACCTGGGGTGGGGATTGTACCTGGAGAATACGCGAGGCCTTCTGTTTGTAGTCCAGCATTTCCTGCCGGACGGCCTCCGCGGCGCCGCGGGCTACCCTCAACTGCTGCTGCAGCTCATCCGCTCGCCTCTTCTCCTCCGCGCTCTTCCTCTCCGCGGCGGTCAGGGCCTCGGCCAGGGCCTGGCGCTCCCCCTCCACCTTCGCCTGGCGCGTGGCAGACTCGCTCTGCGGGGCCAGAGAAGCACGGCGGTCACCCTGCTGGACGCAGCCCGGCCGGCGCCGCGCGCCTCCAGTCACATTCCTTTTTCAACGCGCCGTGCACAGAAAAGACAGGAACGCAGCACAGAATAAAGGACGTAGTGTTTGCAGGATGAGCGTCTCCTTCATTTTCCATTGCATGATCCCACAATGAGGGAGTGAACAGGAGAGACCATATTCTCAGCACGATACAGGCCTTGGTGGCAGGCATTATTTATCCAAAAGCATAAACGAACACAGAAGCTAGGATAAGAAAAAGAGGAATATAAATTCACCCTTGTTATAATAAGCTCAAAGCTTGATCGCTGTCAGCCCATATTTCTAATTCAGATGAAGATGCTTTCTGCTTATCATTAATCAGCCTGGGAACATGGAAAAACTTCAAATTAAGGGGATTAAGAGGCCCCATCTTGCAAATATCCATAATTTTCCGGTCCTTCCCACTTTAAACAAGATCTGTCGTTTTCGACCACGTTAAAAGGGGATGCTCAGAAGACAATGGTTTCCACCTTAACTACATTTCTGCTCTGTGACGCGCCACTTTCTGTGATGGTTATCATTATGAGTGAGGCCAGTCGGGGTGGAACGTAAGCCGTCGCTGGCGACACCTCTGACCTGCATCTGCCGGTAGCTCTCCTGCTCACGCTTCAGGAAGGCCTCGGCCTCCCTCAGCCGCTCCTGCAGGGTCTGCAGCGCCTGGTTGTGCAGGCTGCTCCCCTCGTTGTGGTCTTGCAGGATCCTTGACGGGTCGGGAAGGGAAACGTTACAATTAACCATGACGGGGGGAAGACAGCACCATGCAGGAAGGGGAAAACATTCAGCCTCTCCATCTCGGAAGCACAAGCAATTTGTTGCTCGGGATTATGCTCACAACCTGTTCTCCTAGCCTGCATCATTGGCTGTATCACCTTAAATACCTTTAAGCAGCTCTTCAATTCACATCCACTCGAATCAAAGCAAATAATAATAAATTATGATTATTATTATTATTATTATTAAAGCAAATAAGAATATGTTCTAACAGATTTAAACCTAAAGATTTATGGAAGCTATATGGAGAGATCCCTGTAGGATACAATTGCTTGTTGAATTCAAAAAACACCTTGAATTAATCTGTACTGGCTTCTGGACTTGTTGTGCAGTGACCCTGAGTCTAATTTGGGAAGAAAAACTAGCACAAAGGGCAGCAACTGCAAACATAGTTGGGGATTGTTGTGGGGACTGCATGTAATCAAGGTCACATGCACAACGCTGCCATCTGGTGGACTGACACTGCACCTATAAAGTCTAATTTGACATCAAGCAGACTCTAGCAGGTGTTCAAACTGCTTAAGGCTGGGAAGTGTAATATGCACTGTAATATGAAAACTTAATCCCGCGTAGCAGTCGCACGGCAATTACACCAAACCGCTTTCATCCTTACTGACTGTAATGGGCAACTGCTGAGATCATCGGCTGCCAGCCCCCCCCCACACACAGATCTATACTCGTCTAGGATGACAAGGAGGACAGGGAATATCATGGCTGACCCCTCACACCCTGGCCACTCTCTCTTCCAGCGGTCTCCCTCTCAGCGGAAACCAAGAGTGAGAGCCCTAAGATCCGGGACTAACCAACACCTGCACATTTTCTTCCCCCAGGCCATAACTCTTATAAAGAAGGACACTTCTCTCATCCCTACCCTGTGATCAGTTACATTTTCATTTCACAGCACATGCTACCGATATCTGCTGTAAATATACGCAGTAGCCACTGTACATTTTATTACTCAACTGTATTTACTTATAAATTGTACATATCACTTAGATTTGTTTTGAGCAGTAGATTTTTTTTTGTTACTTTTATCTTAGTGGAATTTATGTTGACACCTGGACCCAGAGACATTCTTTGTATATCCTGTACTCGGCGAATAAGAGTTTCTGATTCTGAAAAGGTAAGGCAGCGACAACACCACTTTCTGAAGCATGAGCAACGCAGAGTTCCCAGCAGCCCAGCAGGCACACGCGCGCTCACCTGGATCGCTCGCTCTGCGCCGCCTCCAGGGCCTCGGTGCGCGCCCGGAGCAGCTGGTCCGCTTCGTCCAGCCTGACCCTCAGCACGGCCAGCTGGGCGTCCTTGGCGGAGGCGGCTTCGGTGAGGTCGTCCACCCGCGAGCGCAGCTCTCGCGCGGCGCGGTCCGCCCGCGAGTGGTCGCCATTCCACTTGTCCACGCGGGCCCGCGTCTTGGTCAGCTCTGGGAACGAGCAGTCACAGCCTCCGCGTGACCCCGGGACACACCGAGGAGCTCGCAGTGGCTCTCCAAACTCTCAGAGAACAGCCAATCAGACACCGCTTCCTGGATGGACTCGCGCCGTCTTAATTCCAACTTACAAAACCAGACTCACTCTATACTCAGATTTTAGCCACATCCCTCACTCTTCTCCTCCGCTGCCTGGGGGTTTAGTCTAAACCATCCGTGTTTTCCTTTCCAACTCTTAAAGCATCTCCTCACAGAGACACTCCTGCTTCCTTTTCTAAAGACAGAAGCAGGACCCTCTTAACAGACTTTTCCTCTCTCTAAACTCACCTCCCTCTCTGTCGTAGCCAAGATTCCTGCTTGCTTGCATCGTAAGAGTATTTTCTCTGCCTAACTGCTTCCATTCTAACTCTCACATGGCTACATATCCCAGGACATTCTCATTATGGCTGTGGTAACAGCACAGAGGATTTACCATCAATCGGCGAGATTCACACCACCGTCGCAATAAAGCCCAATCCATCATTCAGGATCCCAACCATCCCGGCCACAAACTGTTCCCCCCCACCGCACTCAAGGCAGTACGGCACTATTAAAGCATGGACCACAAGGCTTAAGAACCGCTTCTCCCCTACTGCAGTGCACATCCTGAACAGTTAGCTGCAATGCCTCAGATTTAATGCATGTCTGCACTATGCACTTTTTGCATGGGCTACCCTGTTTTTTCTTCACTATTACACATTTATTGTTTTCTACAACACATTTATTGTTCTGGTTGTTGTTATTTATTGTGTTTGTAATGTACTGTCTACATTGTGTGGTGTTGTCTGTTGTACCGCGGATGTCCCGAGAGATCAACGCAAATAAGAATCCCCATTTACATGTACATACAGCATGGCAATAAACCTCTCTACTGTACTCTAAGATCCTTGTCCTTTCCTAAGCATTCCTTTCATTACTCCGATTGTTCCCTTCTTTCGTCTCGTCTTCGCTTGTCTGTTTAGCTGTTCCTTCTCTCTCTATTTTGAAAGCATACCTAGGTGAATCAGGACTGCAGTGTCTCTGTCCAGTTTCCAACACCTGTTCATCTAGAAGGAACATCCCTACTTGCAGAATGGAAACTTTAAATCATTGCCACAGGGCTCGAGCACATGAGCCACTGTGGGAGATCAGGTCAGAAGAACGTTTTACTGGTCTTTTGAACACATGAGAGGCTGCTGCCACGCCCTTAGTTGGCCAGCCCAGCTCAGCCCTACCTTCCTGTGTTTCTTTGGATCTCTGGATAAGGGCAGCCATTTCCTGATTGAGAGAGGACACTTCGTTGCGGAGCAGCTGGTTCTCCAGGCGGAGGCTGGACAGCACCTGGCTTTGCCCGTTGTCTTTCCCTGGGAGAGCCGGACCATCCGCAGTGGGCAGCTCTTCTTTGGCAGGCTCCTGAGACCCCGCCAAGCCGGAGTCCGAGCTCTCAGGCGTGTCTGGACAGGGAAAGACGCCACAATGTCACCTCACTCCCTCACTACTGTTATTTAAACATGGCTTAGCAAAATGTTAAGAGCGGAAATAAACTTGACAAAAACTGCTAAGCATAAACGAATTGTGCAGCTGTCTCCACGCCAATCAAGGCTTAGAGAACACACAAGGCAAAATACTCTTCCAGCAAAGTCATCAACAAATACTGTTATAGGACCACTACAGTCACTCTGGGCCCTTCCTCAGCAAAGAGCTTTAAATAAACCACTGCAGTCCCACAGAAAGACAGGCTGTGTACTAAACAATCCCTCTCATCAGTCCTAACCTTCAGATTTGGGCATATTTGACCACAGGTGGACAAATGCTTGTGACTGGACAGCTAAGTGTTGAAACATGGGCTACTGACACCCTAGATCCAGGTTCATAAATGGGGCCTCACTCTATTTAAAAGGCTGTGATGTTCGATTCTTCCACATGGGCAAAATAACAGATGCAGTTCGGGGAGAGGAGATCAACAGAGAGGAGTGGCTGTTTTTTTCTCTGTTCACGCCAGACAAGACAGCACGCCTTCATCTGTACACAAACGGACCAATAAGTGGCCAGTGCAGTGAAAACTCTCAGCTCCGAAGAGGAAGGAAAACGCCCCCCCAACCCTCGAACCCGGCCTTGCCTTGGCCCTGCTCCCTGCTGGAGCCGTCCTCGGAGGTCTTCACGCTCTGGGTGCTGGTGGAGATGGAGCTGAGGCTGGAGGCCCGAGACAGGCCCTGCGAAGAGGCGGCGGCGGCGGCCTTGGGCTTCTCCCTCTTGGCGTCCAGCTTCCCGGTCAGGGACTTGTCCGTGCTGTTCAGGAAATCGAAGAGCAGGTCGTCGTCGGGCTCCGTCTTCTTCGGCCTCACGAAAGGAGCTCTCGAGGAGCCCGCGTCGCTCGTGCCGAGGGCGGGCCTGGGGGCGCTGGCCACGTTGGCGGTGCCAGCCAAGAGAGTGGCCTGCTGCTTCTTAATGTTGCCCGCAGCTGCCGTGACAAAGCTGGGGGCCTCGGGGGGGGCACGAGGGGGCCCTGCCTCGTGCCCGTGGTACGCCCCTGCATACTGAGAGGCCGAGTCTGCGGCGTCGTAGGCAAACGTCACTCTCTCCTGCTGCTTGCTCAGAGCGCTCGCAGCCCCCTGGTCCACTTTGTTCAAGAAATCTTCTGCCTTCCCAGCGATGTCCGCCAACCAAGACATTCTGGACCTTCGAGGAAAAAGGCTCAGGTTACACATACAGACCCTTCCGTTCTGCAGCACATCAAGAGCTCATACTCGCAGGTCGAACTGGAAAACAACGCTTCGTCAAATGAACAACGCAATGTGGCAGGCAGAACTAAAATCCTGAGAAGTGCATGAAGAAAAAACAAGCAGAAGAAGGCATGTTACATCTGAATCCAAGGGGAAAAAAAAGCACTCATCAGATACCAGCAGCCAGGTTATGAACATTTATTCTTCAAGTCACCTGAGATCTTTAAAGGTGGTATTACGGTTTAAACTTAATCTCCAATAATTCTAAACCTCTTTGCGGACGGCAATATTGACTGTAATTAAAGGGAAATATTGTGTAAATTTTATTGTGTAAATTGTTTTTTCTACGTTTTCTCCGGTTACGTAAGGATAACAGTACTGTAGCAAAATAAATACCAAATCTCTCCTGCTCCATCCCAGTTAATCCAACGGAATTTACTAGTACAACTCGTGAAAGCTATCACTGTTCAAACTGCAAGCATACACACACCCTAAAGCAAGGAGGGAGATTATTTACACACTCCTAGACAAATCATCCCAGTGCCTGTGCTAGTTTTTGAACAGTTGTAAAAACAAGTCTCCATTCTAACGGCTTTGCAAGATTTATTTGGCTTTTTGAAGATAAGCGCATGGTTTTACTTGAGCTATTCCGAAATCACAAAGCCACGAAGGATGAGAAAATTACTATTCAGTCATTTTACCTTATTTTACTAACTGCTCGAAAAAGGCCAATATATTATCATTAATCCAACGCAGTTTTAAACAACCAACCGGCGGTCTGAATCGCATCACCTTAGCCTACTGTACTCACAAGAGACAGCAGAGTTCCACACCGACCGGCTGCACAAGTCGACAGAGTAAAGAAAATGCAAGAATAAAAACAGAAAACACGCAGCGTTTCCTCGGCATGCGTGGTTATAGATTCGTGCGTCAGAGAGTGCAGCTTAACCAGTATTCTGATTTATTTAGTCTGCAATTCAGACACAAGGTAGGTTCGCTTATATGATAATGACGGTACGTTTACGGCACACGTTGATGACTGCAGTGTCGAAGAGAAATATTAAATAAAAAAATATTGTACCATTCAAGAACATCACACCTCTTGGGGAATTCGCTGCAGTTGGCTAACTCTCATAGGTGAACTCGCTGTGGGGGCCTCTGAACGTTTTTACCTGATCTGTCCTTCACTTACCTTCAACGTGTCTGACCTTGATATGCACACGATATGTAGCTTTGTGATCCCGGCAGTAAAAAGGCGAGCAAAGAACAAGAAATTTCAAAAGGATGAAGATTTCGGTGTTGGTAAAACACTCTGCTCAGCTGCTGCTGCTATCAACCCTCCTCCATGATGATGATCTTGGAGACGTGGACCAGGAACTACTGATTCAGGACCCAAAACAGAGTGCCCTCCGTGCTGCCGAATCAAAAATAACTTCCAGCAAAGGGGAAAAGGAGACAACTATACATTCCGTGTAATCAGCCAACGTCGAAAATTAATTGCACTATTAAAACAAGTGTATCTCGTAAACTGTACTACCGGGTGGAGTACTAAAATTGATCCACATAGCAAATGGACAATGGTGTTACATATTCCCACGGACATCGACAAACTCCCCACCAGGGGGCGCTACCTCAGTGCACTTTTTTCCATGTGAGAGTAACATTGGTGCTTGGACCACCACAACAAATAGGCGTTTAAAGAGTTCATGGATGATGCATACGTGTAACCCGTGAATAGGTTTTACAAGCAGCTGCGCCATATCACGTGAATATGAACTCACAACTTAAAGAAGAAAAAATTACTTCGATTGCAATAACTCAAGACACTTTAACCTTGCACTTGATCTGTGTCTGAAGCATAAATGGCAGATTAATTTAATGATAATGGCTGAGTTGTTTTCGAAATTGTAAAGAGGAAAGATGAATCTAGATTAGATCAGAGCATTATTATTATTGCATTTCCTAATAAAAAAATCCTATTAGGGAAGGGAGGCTCAAAATAATGTTACAATTTACACACATAGTACTAAAACAAAAGTTAATCTTAAATTCTAGAAAATGAATGTTCTGGCTATGTCAAGGTCTTTTTTTATTTTAATGACGTTATAAGTATAAGCCGTCATAAAACAGAAAGGAATGCCTTAATCAAGACGTCCAAGGCAAACAACCAGGCAATTTCATTTATCATGAGGACAAAAGTATTTAAAAAATAAAAGATAACTAGTGAAAACGTTATATTTCAACTAGTCGAGACACGTTATCTAGGATGAACCATATTAAACGTTTTCGTATTTTACATTGAAAAGGTTTGTTCCCAGATACTATGTTTAACGCTATCCATTGGGAAGTGTGATACATAGTATACAGTAAACCCAGTCTCCAAGTTACTATTTAATATTTTAACTGGAACTTTTTACAAATCAAAATCCCTCAACGATGCGTTAATTGCAATATTTATCTTGCTCAAATAGGAAAGTAACAAAGGAGGAATCCAGTACAGTTTAACTACATGGACAGAGCAAGTGACTGTTGAAAACGTGATTCGTTTATAGTGGGGTACATTTCAGTAGGGAGACTTTCAAGTAGGTAGCTGCGTCAGCATGCGTAAAGTAGGGCACAAAGGAACAGATACATTTTATTCCAGGCTAAAAGGGGAAAGAAAATAGACGCAACGTTTCGGCTGGGGAGCCTGTCCATCTGAGTAGGGAGTATTGTAACTGTAGTGGCGGGTATTACGCATTAAGTAACCACTCTCAAAACGGAACGTTTTGCTCCGTGGACGTTTTCGCGGTCGTGAGCTGTAGTTCAGGTGTAGTGGGGAGTGTCACGTTACTATCACGAGGGATGCAGCACGAGAGAGGAAATGCTGATGCCGTCCGAAGTGGTCAGGCCGCAATGGAGAACCGGTTTCCAAACGATAAGAACTAAGAGAAGCTATTAAACGGAGTCGTTATAAGACAGCGGTTAAAGTGCGTATGTGTACGAAAAAGGGAACAATTCTAGCTGAAGACAGGACGTTACAGTGAAAGTGGGTACTGTTAAATTGTGGCTTTTAAAACAAGTGACTTCTCTGATCTGGGCGAAGAAAAGTATTTTTATTGTGGTCTATTTAAGGGAGAACTTATCAAGCGAAAGGCATCCAATGTGCAGAAAGTCTTAACACTGAAGCTGAATTTCATGGAATCATTGTAGGACTAACCAAAACACTAAATATAATTTTCAAACAATAGTTTCACAATTGCAAACGGAACGCACTTAGTCCCAATTTTAGAAGTGCACTTAAATGGAAAGACGTTAATGTGTAAATTCAGAATACCGCCTTTGCTGAGATGAACGCTTACAATGTGCATGCACAGTAATTGTGTACTTCTCAGCAGTTTGCTATCCCCGTTGTGAAAATGCGTCATTTAGAACAAGGTTCTTTTTACACTGAACAGTAAAATCATAGTGCTGAATTGACACATTAATTGAAGTGCTTTTGAAACATTCCGTTCTGTCTCAAGGTCTCCCAGTGAACGCCACCATACCTAAATATTCATTAAAAACTACGTCTTAAGTGTTTTTTTTAAATCAACATAATGTATTGTGAACGCGAGAAAGGGTTCGGCTGATATGATTAATAACACTTAATCAAAAGTAAGTGAATTCCTTTGCACGGGTGTATTGAGGACGGAGAATACGAAACGGTTTTTTTTTACATCAGGAGTGGTGGGTGTCTGAACTGCCTTCCAGGGCCGTCGCCAGAACAATCCGGTGGTGCGGGTTTGAGCGGCAGTTTGAGACACGTGACTAAGCGGACACGTAGTAACGATGTTTTTCTGAGCTGGTCTGCGTTAAGGAGAGCGGAAATTTCCTTGTCATTTTTAATGCGCATTTCATGCTCCTTCCATACGGCCTTGCAGGTTAAATGTTCCTTTGAAGTGGAGTGTTTATGAAACCCTCTGTCCCTCTCTGCGGCCTGTTTCCAGTCATGGTACCCCCTACCTGTGAAAGTTGAGTCAGTTGCGCGGCACTGTTGAACTTCCTACAGGGTTAGCAAAATGCTGCGCCGACCCTATACTCGAGCCATTCTTGATTATAGTACCGGCAATAAGATACAGGGTATCGATGTAGAACGATCTGGTTGGGTTTTTCAATCCCTTAGTCATCAGGGACCAGCGCCGGTGGTCCACAAATGACCAGACAGGAGCCTTTATTGGTTAAACTGGCTCCGTCTTTAACAGCAAAATTAGCATGGCTGGAATTAGCATGTGCACTTCTGCCGTTGTCCATGTCGAGCGCCCTATCTGCTTCCCTCACTTCTGCTCCATTTTCCCCCACTACTAGCAATGGAGATGGTCCTTTGAACCATTTTCTTATATCCATTATTTAGACTAGTTAGCCTAGCTTTCTGATTAACGAAATGAGATGAAACAATTTCTGGCTACAAAACCGCCTTGTTTTGCGTAATAAATCCCGTAATACTTTTTCTTTTTCCCGTTTACAACCATTTTTTTGCAATATATGCCAGGGACCTGTGCAATACATTTATATCCATATTTATATCTATATCTATATCTATATTTACATCTATATTTATATTCATATGTGTGATACGATTTTTCTGTGTACTGTTCTGTTCTAGTTTGTTCTTTGTGTATCCGGACTGTGAGTAACTCTTGTATTGTATTGTATGTATTGTACTATTATTATATAATTTGTTACACTGTGGTGTGTTGTGTGTGTTAAGCTGCTGTTGCACTGCAATTTCCCTCACGGGATCAATGAAGTATCTATCTACTGAAACCTCAGATGTGACGCTTGCTCCAGCTACGTTTTTTTCATTCATGACAGAAAAAAAAAGATTGAAATGTTAGGTTAGTTACATAACTGTTTTTCAATATTTCTAAAAAAAAATCCGAAAACGTGTTTTGCCACTTTATTAGAAAATTATTTGGGGGGGCACGTTAGCCCACATGGGGGTGGGGCACTGGCCCCCCCCTTAGCGACGGCTGTGCTGCCTTCCTACCCAAGGCGTCCAGACACAGGGCTCTTTTAAGAAAATGATAGGCTGATCTAGCTACTAAACTACCATACGAGGAATATTGGCCCGAAGGCATCCCCTCGTTTGCAACTTTTCTTAGCTTATATGCTTTAACGCATAGAAATTGTTAAAAGCGTACTTTCTGTGAGAATATTTTAAGGGTTTCAAGGTGGACATCGCTAGGATAAGAGGCCGGGCTTCTGAGAAATCTTATTCTGATCTGGACAACAGGCAATGGAGAAGTGCACAATGAGATGACAGTTTTCGAAATAAATGTGAGCGGATAAATCAATCTCTCCCTCACCGTGCAGAAGAAGGTATTGTATACAGTGCTGTACCCGCCCATGCGCATAGATTGGCCCGTCATTAAGTCCGCCCCATATTGCCTCTGAATCAGGCTGCTCTGATATATAACAAAGATCTCTTCAAGCCGTTATCAGTTTTCTGCTGATCTGACAGCGACTCTGTAAAGGGTAAGGTAATTTACTACAGAAATATAAAACCTAGTGTGTTGAGTCAGAATAATCCGTCTGTATGTGTGTGCGGGTTATGGAAAGAGTTACGGTGCAGGCGCCTGATGGCCAGGCAGTGAGTTTTTGGGAATGTCAATAACAAGCCTCTGGTGTGCATCCAGTCACGCGCCCAGCTGGCAGGCTAGCTATGTGAAAATAGCTCGAACCGTTACAAAACCAGCTTACCGCTGTTGACAACCGAGAAGGATTGTTTCATACTTATTGGATCTCTGGCAATTGTGCAGGATATGAAGGTCGCATATGACACTATAGTTGGAACCTGCCGCTTTATAAATGTTATAAATGTTATAGACGAAATCTATAAACCTGTCGCGTGTTTAGCAGTTATCGACCTCTGTTAATATGACCACATTATTCACTGTTAAGTCACAAAAGATGGGGGGAAAATGCTAAGGCAGCAGAGCGCAGCACAGTGAATGCTGGGAGTGTTTAAGACCAAACGCTTCTTTTTTTATTGCTCCTACCAAGTTAAATCATTAACCTCGCGGTAATTACACGAGAGAAAGCCGTGGCTTTCGCCTACTAAATATAGGAGATATCGATCTTATTTTACTTGAGTGACTGCTTGGTCGTCGTGTATCGCACGTTTAGCTACGGGAAAACCGCACGTTTCATGTCGAGACAAGACAATTCCGTGGAAATCCACCACACCTAGTACTAGTAGTACAGTACATACTGTGTTGTATCTGTCTGACGAACGCCAAATCTCCTGTGGCGATTCTGCCCGTTCCCAGGGCCGTAGACCGTCCCCAGTCAGCCTTCGGGAAGCTCTAGGATGGTAGTTCCAAGTCACAAGTAAATGTTATTAATATCGCGCTGAAAAAAATAGATGAAACGCTACGTTTTGGCCGCTGAGTCTTCTTCAGGTGTCAAGCTCGTAGAGGCTTCGCCGCATCATATCCTAGTAGTACTAGTACTTTGTAAACAAACGTCGGCTAGGAAACAAAATCGAAAAAACACCATGAAATACAGACAAAACATTATCCGTGCATTTGAATTGTCAGGCTTTTGTGTTGCTTTAGTCGATAGGTGGAAAAATATTAGACTAGAAAGATAAACTGTAAGTAGATATGTAAAGAAAATATAGGACTCCTGTCTTGCAGTCCTTGATTTTCATTGGTTTTTGCTTTTAGTATAGCAGGAGTTTAGCGTCTTCTAGATAAAGAGTCATTAAAGAGTCGGCTCTTTAATGGCAATATTATTTTCATATTTAAAAACGGAATAAACTATCAAAAAAGTTGCGAATACTTGTGTGAGAACATTAATTGTTTAAGATGACGGTAATGTGATGAATAATTTCAGGATGACCTTTACAGTGAAAAGCACTTTCTAATGAAGTGGTAGTAGATACACTTTAGTAATCCGATATATGCAGATAGAGAGTAGGTTTCAGAATTAAAGATCACATCTTTCTTATACTTTATTACCGATAAAACCCAGCCAAAGGGAGTTATGCTGTGGTTTGGAACAATCATAAAAAAAAATACAATTTTTTGCTTGTTAAGACAGTAGGGGGATTGGGTTTTTGTTTTTTTTTTAAATGCATTGCTGTATCTGTTTAAATGGTTGTTGAAAAGTTATTTTTTAATGAATTCCTCTGAAGTAACTTGCGACAAGGAGATTTTAGCTGGAACAGTAAATGCTACCTTTTTCACAGGTTGGAAATCTTATAGGTGTCTGACAGGAGATAAATCTTTAATGTCTTGGAGGTAGCATTGAGATCAAGGCTGTGTCAGCAGCAGCCGCTGTTACCCCTGCGTTCACCTCAGGTCGTTGGGAAAGAGGGCTGCGAGTTGTGTAACAACTCCTCCTGTCAACGTCGCTACTAAGGCAGACCTGGAACCTTCTTCACATTTCTACCCAAAAAGTCTGGAAATGTCAGAGTTAAAAAAAAAAGTCTGCATGTCTTCTTTCTCAGAGGGGCAGGACTAAGGCAGCGTCAGGATGTTTCTGAAGACTGTAGCGCTGGTGGGCCTTTTCCTGGTCCTGGGTGCGAGGGCTCTTCCACTGCAAGAGGCAGAGAACGGTGGGAAGAACTGGGTGGTGATCGTCGCAGGCTCCAATGGCTGGTACAACTACAGACACCAGGTATTTGTATCCATATGTTATTTTTCCAATTATAACAGTGCCACTTTTGTCCAAAGAGGCACTCATTTGTGCCCATTCATGCAGCTGGGTATTTTATTTGAGCAGTCTCTAGGAAGTGCCTTGCTCAAGGGCCCAATGGGAATGTCTCACCTGGCTTTTGATCCCCAGAACCTTAGTTGCTTGTCCAGAGCCCTGATCACTGCTCCAGTTTTGAAATTAGCCTCACTTCACTCTGGTAGCCTTTAGCTCAAGTTCCATTTGTGTTAGCCAGACAGTCTGAGCCTCTTGCAGCTTGCATATTGTGTAGTTTTCTCTCAGGGGTGTTGTGTGTATACTCACCCTGGTGTGTGTATTTGTTAACACAGAAATGGAGAGGATGTAGCTGTTGAAATGGTGGAGTTACTTCCCCAAAAACGAGCCATCTGACTCTTTTCCAGTATTATAATAATCAACACCTAAATCTCTGGGGAAAAAGAGTAATTTACTATAACAGACATATTACAGTGACACACAGAAACTACACATAAAACAATCACAATTACTGAAGTTTTTCATTATGTTGATGTGCTAAATACTGTAGTTTCATTTCTCTACACATGACAGAGTTGTCATCCAAGCATGTTGTCCTTTACTTTCAGAACAGCTTTTTTTGAGAAGTGTGTTCTGACAGCGTCGCAAAATTACTTTTAAAAGCTATGAGCCTGCAGATTTGGGAACCGCAGTACGTTCTGTTACAAATAAAGTGAATGAAAACCAATTAAAAAATAGATTTCAGGTTCATATGTGCTTGTCTCACCAGAACTATCTATTTTGCAAAGATACTAAAATGTATAGGAACAAATAACAGGTTTATTCCATGCTGAAGAGAGATGAAAGAAAACACAACATTTCAATCTTCTCTTTTCAGCATGGAATAAACCTATTACTTGTTCCTTGTCAGCCTACGCATGCTGACACAGCTACCCACTTGAACTACTAAAATATATAGTACATTTCTGAAAACTAAAAAAATATACTTTTAGATGAATAATGTCTGTTAAACTAGTAACATCTATTCTGTTTAAGATGCTGTTTATTCAGCTTGAACCTGTTACCCTTTAACCCCCTTTGCCTAATTGCTAATATTTGGAAAAGAGTACTGAGAGAATTGACAGAACAAAAGAGTGGACAAAGCATTGAATGAAAAATGGGAAACACTTAACATATCGAGACTCACATTATAGGAAAGGACTGCTTATCAAGGTGAAGCAAGCAGTATTCTGTACTTATAAGAAGTGACTTGCACTTTGTGGCTTTCGTGATAAGCACACCACTGTTAGTGTTGTTTACTGTACTTCCTTTTGCTCTGCTCAAACTTACAGCTGGGTGTTCCTTTCGAAATTCAGCTGGAATTATGAAATACCAATAAATCTATTTTAAGATGTGAAGTAGTTCCCTGTCTAGACACCTGGACATTTCACAGAAAGTGTGTTAATTTAGTAAAATGAGATTTTTCAATGCAATCATTTTTCCCTTTTTATAATTTGATTATATGGTTTATTTGACATGCAAATTACTCTTGGCCACAAGTAAATATATATTCTGTAATAGAATTAATATTGAGGAAATGAAAGTTTTGAACACTTCCTAAGGCATGTGACGTTTTAAAATGGGATTTCCCCACAAAAATCTAAACTTTTCTTTTAATGGTTATGAATTCAAGACCTAGAGCACTTCTGCTCACAAAACAAAGAGGTCTAGCTCCAAGAACCTATTTTTCTTTCCACTCTTGGTTGCTTTAAACCTCACATGCTGTGGTTTGCAATTTGCCTAATTATTCTGAAAAAGAATGCTCTAGTACAGTATATGATGTTACATCTCTTCTAGTTCCTAAGTATGTTAGTCACTCTGTACATTCACAAATTGAAAAGTGTGCAGCTGTTTGGTAATTTCACTATTTGTACAATGCTGAATGAATAAATTCCTAGAATGAAACAGCGGAAATAGTTCAAGCCATATTCTGTCCATCTTCCTTTTCAGTAAGCCAGTGCAGAATTAAACGCACTTGTCCAGCGTCTTACACAGCCAGTCTGTGCCAGGGAGATTGAAATCACATTTCTACTCGAACCGGGCCTCAGTGGGTGCCTTTTGAAATCTTGTCAATCGTTCACACAACAGTCCTCCTTATGTAAGGACTGAACCTGTGTGCTTGTGTCTCCGCCACATTCATCCATTTTCAGTCCAGAATTAGTCCAGTGCACTGCTGCCAGGCAGACAATAGGTACGAGACAGGATGCATCCTGGACAAAGTGTTTTTGGACTGCGAGAGACCACAGGGGCACCTGTAAACCATGCAGACTCCACACAGAAGACCCCTCAGGCTGGAATGGAACCCAGGCCCCAAGAAGTGAGAGGAAGCAGTGCTTGCTGCCTCACTCATCTCCACCATGTTTTTCCAATACATTCTGCTGTTGTTTTGTGCAGGCTGATGCGTGTCATGCCTACCAGATCGTCCATAAAAATGGCATTCCTGATGAGCAGATCATTCTCATGATGTACGATGACCTGGCTCAGAATGAAGAGTAAGTGCCCCTGACAACACAGGTTCAGGCAGCGTGGACACTGTGTTCTGCCTTGTGCTGAACTGAAGTATCACAGGCGTTCTTTTCTAACTTTCATATGACATTGAATACAGTACATGTTCATTACTGGTAATAATGGAAACTACCGCGAAGATGCACGAGTGATCTTTTTTTTTTTAAAAAAATTCCTCAGCAGTTTAAAAAAGCATTTGAACATGCTAAAGTAATCAGACGATATCATATGCATCCTTTCAGGCATAACGTGAAGAGTCACAGGATTCCAATTCTTTACTCCAGTTTAACTTAATCTGTTTTAATCTGTAAAACGATGCTCTGACTGTTGTAGAATGTGTGACCTGAATAAGAATGTTGATGTTATCGGTTTCTTGTTACAAGCCTGAATTCTGTGAGGATGCTCTGTGTTGTGTCTTCATAAGTGTGTTTCAGATATATATTAAAGGTTACTGTGTCTTTAAATGGAAAGTACAACACCATATTTTGGAGATAGAAAGAGTCGGCATCAATCAGTGCATTTCAAACCACAGTAAAAGAAAAATGTACACCGTAAAACCTCCATTTTACATTACAAAATAGGTGATATTTCCTGTTGTGCACAGCGCCGTATTCTGTGATTCAGAACAAGACAACCAAACTTCCGGTGACGTGATGTGGCCTTATAACGTTGTAAAGAAGCATGCTGTGAATCCATCTCTTTTAATCCAATATAAATATTACTCTTGACTTGGAGACGGTTTAGTCCACAAATACTATTTACCTGTTAACTCTGCGTACAAATCCCATTGGAATATTATTTGCTCATGCATCGTATTACATTAGTCATTACAGTGACTAGTGAGCAGGAAGGGCCGCATCATGTCGCAATTCGTGGGAACTCTTGCTCCCGCACTGTGGCGGGACTAGGGGGTTTGTGACAACATGGAGACTTACACAAACTTTACGATTTTGTGCTTAATTCGGAATTCGCACATTTTTACTATACCGTTAATGAATTTTTGTTGCCGAGATTTAATAACAGGTCTGAGAAATTGGGACTGCAGTTCCCCTTTAAGTATATTATAAAACAGTGCTTATATAGCTACACTCAGTTTATTGCAAATATACCGTATATCAATCACCACTGTCTAACACAATAGCGAGGTATTGTGTTTCAAGTTTTCAGGTTTATTACCTGTCATCTTCGACTCCATTTGTTTTTGAACACCTGCCAAATGGGACAAGAGCCCAGTTTCTTAACAATGTCAACCTGTAACCTTAATCTTTGTATCTGCCAGTTTCTTTTACTAGTGTTTCACTATGGTGGGATTTTATCATATTTTATGGCTTTTGTCACAATGAGCCATTGTTAAAGTTGTACTTTGTCACTGCTGTCGCTGAAAATTGCATCATTTAAAAGTTCTGTGTAGCATTTGAAAGAAATCACTTCCACCTATATTCATCTTTATTAAACAATTTCCTCTGGCAGAGTTTTGTTGATTTCTTTGCAGCTAACCTGCCTGGGCTTCCTTTAAAAGAGATGTACAAGACACCACTCTGTTATGCAAATCAGTGACGTAGTTTATATTGCCTCCATTTTTTAGTTGATGTTTTGATGTGGTTCTGATCTGAGAAAGTACAAATAACAGTGGATCACATGAAATACATGCAAATGTGATGCTCACTCCTCATCTTGGAGAACCAAAGCCTAACCTCAGCCTCCTCAGTGACTCCATTGAATAAGCAATGAAGAAATCAAGCTTTCTGCTGTCATTGAACTGTCGAGCCAGACAAGTCTTCCCGAGTAAATTCAGATCAGGCTCAGTATCGATCCGGTGACGGCACCTTGCTTGAATTTTAATTTTTGCAGTTTGGATCTGTCTGGAAAAGATGAAGAATAAATAAGTTGCAATTTGATTCCTGACAACAGAAAACATGTTTTTTAAATGGTGGTATATTTGAGATAAGCAGTGGCACTCCAGTGATGATGTGTGACAATACTGATGACTGATAATAACAATTACCTGTTATCTTTCAGGAATCCTACTCCAGGAATTGTGATCAACCGGCCGAACGGCACAGATGTGTATAAGGGAGTGGTTAAGGACTACATCGGGGAGGTGAGGCCTCCGAGTTCAGTGGCGTAGCCAGGAGTTTTTTATTTGGGGGTGGCAGGAACAGATATGGGGTGGCATTTTTAAATAGTATTTTCTACCTTCTAAAATAAGATGTACTGTTAAAAGGTGTCGTACTCTTCTTCTATACTGGTAACCCCTTTGAGGTGGAAGTGAGGCCCAAGCAGAGCGGGTTCGCGCAGAGCTTGTATTCACACCGGGTCACGACTCTGAAGCACGAGGAAAGATCCTTGAACCCTGTTATTTCTCAACGTTTTTTCAGTCATATTTTGAAAGCTTCTTAAAAAGCTTTTCAAAGAACGGTCAGTAAAACTCATAATTCTCAATATAACAGAAAGTCTTGGTGAAGGTTTCACTTTGTTGGTTTTTATGTCATAAAAGGCTGTTTCCTTAAAAAAGTATTCACCCATTACTGTTGAAATAAAAAGGGACAGGTACTTTGACTCATTCCTGTGATTTAATGTCAGTTATGATTATATTATACATTATCTTTCGTCCCCAAGCTAAAATCTTGCGCAACTTGGTGGCATGGGAATGATCTGCAGTGATCTGAAACATTTGCCTGCACTAACCATTTGCAGTATGGGCTACGTGTGCGTTCTGGAAAAGCACATTTCTTTTGTTGGTAAATGTACGACAATATGGGATTTTAGGTGGTGCCTAAAATGAGGTGGCAAAGCCTTAATTAAGGGTGGCAACTGCCAACCAGTGCGAGCGACCCCTCTGGCTGCGTCCTGTCTGAGTTGTGGTCACTGCGTTCCACTTCATTCTCACAAGGAGCACTGGAGATTTCCCTTATTTAGGACAGGCAGAACACCTACAAAGACAAGTGTAAAGTAAAGGGCAGCAGGGTAGAAGGAAGATAAACTGCTGTTTTCGTGCCAGCATTTCTACATTTCTAAAAAGAAGCCCCAGGCTGGGGGGGGTAATTACAAAAGAAAACGCTGTCTCTCACTTTGACATTCCTCAGGTTTGAACATGTTAAATGGGCTTCACCCACACCGTGCTTTTGACACTTTACGGTCAGATCTGGATGTGTTAGTTGCCCCACTTTCCTACTATTTTTTTCAGTCCAATCCCTCCAGTCGTGCTCCTTTCAGTTGTTTCCCATTTTTGTTTTCCCTCGCTGAACCCTCTTCCGTTGTGCTGTCCCATAGGATGTGACACCTGCCAACTTTCTGGCTGTGCTGAAAGGGGACGCGCAGGCGCTGAGGGGCGTGGGGTCGGGAAAAGTGCTGAAGAGGCAAGTACACCAAGAACGATGAGGAATTCAGCAGTTCTGCTTTTTCCTGTTATTGTGTAAAACGTTTTTACTGTAGAGCTTATTTTCCATTTTACTTTGGAGTTCTGGACAAGAGCGATTCTGAAAGGGTGTCTGTCTAGCCCTGTGTGAGGATATTAAGTGGGATTTATTTCTGAGTACCGTGTTTGAGTACCTACAGTATAATGCCTCTCCAATAACTTTAATACCCTTCTGTGGTTTTACTATTCGTCATCTTAAAAGAAATCTAACAGGCTTTCATTGTGCTTTATATATCTTTTACCCCAAAGTGGACAAGTAGCATTTGTAGGATTAGCGGGTTAAACCTGATTTACTTACTGTGGGTATTCAGTCCTTTCCAAGAGGACAGGAGCTCCTCTGATGCTGAAGTACTGTACACAGAGAGCATCAGGAACTAGAGTTGAGATATCTGTGCCAGAGCTCTTTCCCAGCTGCCTCTCCCACTGTCCACTCCCAGAATTCTGCGCCAATCCCCTGCAGATTCAATATATTGTTTAGTGTGAAAGTTTGCTAAATAGAGCATTAAACCGTAGATGTGTAAAGATAATGTTAAATATTTTGATTCCAGTATTTTGGTTTGCTTAATATAAAAAAGGAAGAAATTAGTTTGCAATGCAAAACTTTCTCTTTTTTTTTTTACTTTTACTGAAATAATTTATTTGACACGCATTTGCAGTTTAAATGAATGTCTTGATGAGTGCATTTCCTTCAGATGTCTGTCGTGGGTTTTCCTCTTTTGTTTGCTTATCACAGTATTTAATTCCCTAAATCTTTATAGTTAATATTTCATTAATTACACTATGCTTTAATTTTGCAATAAAGGGTCATGACTAAAGGGTTTTGCAATGTTGAGTCACTGAAGGCATACTGATGCCTATGTAATGGGTGCAGACCATGAAATGGCCCCTAAGCTCAAGTGTTTTTTTTGTCCGTTGTGCATTTACCTCTGCCAGCTTCCTTGTTTTGCTGAAAAACCACCAGGCTCTATTGAGGAAGTTACTGCAGAGGGCATTGATGCCTTTTGTCTTTTTAGTCATTGTGTTCACCTGTGGAGTCAGACCAATGTTTTTTGAAAATTCTTTCTTTTTATCTGCTTCTCCTTGGCAGTGGTCCCAACGATCATGTGTTTGTTTATTTCACGGATCACGGTGCCCCTGGGCTCCTGGCATTTCCAAACGATGATGTAAGCAGTTTTTTTCTAATTTCTCAGGAAGGCCCAGATTGCACACACAGTATGCCTTAATGCACAGAATCATACTGCTACCAGTGATTCAGTAGACCTTTGTTCTTGTGATGATGATGATTCCTGGGAGGAAGTGTGGAAAACAGTCATAATAATATAGCCCCACCCAGGAACGTTGTTTTTCTCATCTGGTCTTGTGACTCTTGGTTAGGTATCACTCTGTTATACAGTAGCCTGATGCACTCATTTAAATTGTATTCTAAAAAAACTTATGTTCTGTTTTTCAGCTCCATGTGAAAGACCTTAAAGATGCTATCAATTACATGCATAAAAACAAAAAATACAAAAAGGTAATTTATTTTTTTTTTAAACAAAAGAGGACACTTTAGCACTATCCATTAAAACATAGTGGTGTGTCTGCTATACTCATAAATCCACTGCTTGGCAGTTGTTTATGCTATTATCTCGTGAATTACTATGACAAATTCCAGTTCATTCCTAAAAAAGACAACGTGTAAAAATTCTCATAATTTCCTGAAGTTTGAATAGTTTTCACAACTGTTTTTGCTAGTTTCAACAAAGCTTTGGCGCAGTGTTTTAAAGTTAATAAATAACAAATCTGTATTTTCGCATTTGGAAAGTCCCTGGGGCATGAGCCTAAACATTAGATAGCCTCCATCAGCTCTGAAGATAGTCAGATAATGTCCATTTGCAATCTTGGACAAGTATCGAATTTGAGAGGAGGCCAGACAGAACAGCTCTGGGTTTCCATATGTACCACAATCATGTTTGCTATTGACATGTCCTAAAGCTTACCTTGAGATCAAAGGGAAAATAATTGCTGAATCCCCCAGACCTTGTGAAAACGAGCAAGGATCAGACGTTTTAGTGCTGTGTGTGGTGTCCACAGATGGTGTTTTACATTGAAGCCTGTGAGTCAGGGTCCATGATGAACCACCTGCCTGCTGATATTGATGGTAAGTCATCACTTCTGGACTGTTGAGACAAAAAGAACAATACAGGGCTGTGATGATGAACAGCTTAATTTATACAATCTAAACTTCCAAGTCTACACTTCAAACATACTTCAACATAACTCTGGTTATTAAGAGCTAAATGGGTTATTTGGTCGAGATGATCTCTAAGTTAGGAAATTACAGTTAAACTGTGTTCTTTAAAGAACAATGACTTCGTGGTTAGATATAAGACGTGCTGAATTGGGATTCTTTAGGACCAAGAGCTGAGACACCCGTCTTGAACGTCAACTCTGTTTTAGGTGCAGTATTTAATGAAAATTACTTTCGAAGATACCGAATGCTGCTGTATTACATTTATTTAAAAGCCTCAAACAGCACCTTCCTTTTCTCTGTTCCTTTTCATTACTGATAGTCAATTGGAAGGTGTTCACTGCCTCAGTTTGCTTGGCTAGTGGAAACACTTTAAGAGAGGCACATGACCTCCAGTTAAAGTCGAGCTCACAGTCCCACACAAAGTGTGCTTCCCTTCTTCAGTTGTCATTTCTGTGCAGTCAGCAGGATGCAAGGTCAGGCTGCAGTGTGTCACATCACAAGGTCTGCTTGTGACGGCTGACTTGCAGTTAAAGTAAAATTGTGACTAGCTGAGGTTTTATGATGAGATCAAGGTTCTTCTTCAGGTTTTTGCTTGGAGGCTCCTGTCTTTCAGTTTGAATTTTTTTGCAACATATTATATTTGAGATGTTTCCCCTCAATTCTAAGGTCAAGAGGCTTGGTTATATTCCTCATTAAATGAGATTTGCAGTCACTACTAGTATCAATATTTCTTGCACTTTAACTGAAAAAGAGAAAATGTACATTTATAAAAGGTATTTGTGCAGTCATACAGTAAATTGTACAGCCCTAATATAGGCCCTTTGTACTCACTGTAAAAGCACTGTGCAGCCCGGGTGGATATGTACAAGGTCATGCTTGCTCGTACATCTTCTGATAGTGATAATGAGGACTTCTAACCCATATTTCTGCTTGTTTAAGTTGCGGTGCAAGTGTCCTTTCCCATTTGTGGGTTAACAATGTGTGGCCATGGTGAAGCAGGCCGCAAGTCAAGCCAGTTTTCGGCACGTTGATGTTTAACCCTGTGTGGTCCTCTACAGTGTACGCCACTACGGCTGCGAACCCCCACGAGTCCTCCTATGCCTGCTACTACGACGAGAAACGAGACACTTACCTGGGAGACTGGTACAGCGTCAACTGGATGGAGGACTCCGATGTCGTGAGTAGCCTCCTCTGCTGCTTTTCCGTTTTTTACTTGAATAGGTTTTGCAGTGGTGCCTGTGTCTGCCGTATCTTGGCACCTTTTGGCTATCCTCATGACAGCCTTGCAGTCTGGACTCAAGAGCTAAGCCAGGCAGGGCCAATCAGTCCTGGGATGGTAGACTTCTGAGGAAAACCAGGCTGCTGTTGTAGGTGTAGGTGGTGTTGATGGACCAGTAGGTGGCGCTCTTCAATCAGGACTAGAATTCCAAGCCCTTGTCTCAGAATGGTGAGCAGGAGACGGGGTGCTGTAAGAAAACAGAGGTCCGGAATACCATGAGCGATCCCATGTCAATTAAGAATAGCAGTGTTATCCTTGGTGTCTTGGCTTAATGATGCACAATCTGGTCTCTCTAAATCTTTCCGTTAATCAGTTGAAGAAGCAGTTAATCTGCCTGGGCAGATGATGTGACCAGATGAGAGCTGCACTTCAGTGCTGGGTGAAGGATGTCGTGATGAAAAATGCAAGAAATTCTTATTATTACAAATAACACTTGGGTTCAAAAAATAACCACCAATCTACTGTTTGCATAATAAAAGGGATAGGCTTCCAGATGCAAAATACTTGGTATGGAATCTTTCCAGTAATTGTCTGCGTAATTCTCTTCTGCTCGCAGGAAGACCTGAAGAAAGAAACACTCCTGAAACAGTTCAAGATCGTGAAGAGCCACACCAACACCAGTCACGTGATGCAGTACGGAAACAAGGCAAGGGAAATTCTGTTCTGCCTATATGACATCTTGAAAGCATCTCAGGAGTGTTGTTGCATGTTTCTGCAGTTGTTCCCTGCAAAAGTTTTCCTTAAATTTGTTTTATACTTATTCCCATTAATTTGTGTTCTGATAATTAGTGTTGATTAACCAAGCTAACAGCCAGCTGTAGTTAATGTTTCATTTGTAGTCATCTTCTGGAGGAAAGCAAAAATGCTAATCTTGTCTTGTTAATGATGAACTGGAAATTAAGTACATTAGTTTTTAATTCTTTCGTGTACAGTAGATTGTCTGTTTTTTGTATAACTGAGATGAAGCTCTTCAAAAAGAGATTAGCATTTCCAGAGTCAAAGGATTTAATTCATTTTAAAGCCGGAAAGACGTAAATAAAACACTTAATGAACATAAGTTTTCGCTTAATTGGTAAACAGGATAAAAGGTTGTTTATTACAGGGAATGAGTGTCAACAGCCAGGTTCTGTTAAGATCTGAGAGAAGCTGAAGGAAGCTGTGGTAAAAAGCTTCTCCTCTGTTTTGCGGTCTCAGACACTAGCCCAGATGAAGGTGATACAGTTCCAGGGGAACCCCACAGCCAATGCCCAGCCTAACGCCCCAGTCACCCTCCCACCCATTGCGGACCCCGACCTGATTCCCAGCCCAGACGTGCCCCTCGCCATCCTCAAGAGGAAGCTCATGGCCACCAACGATATCGCCAAGGCAAAGGCCTATCTGGAAGAGATCAACACCCATCTGAAGGTAAAAGCACTGAGCCACGCACACCACTTGGGTCATGCTGCAGTAGAGCGACTGAGAACAGGGACATACTGAGCATCGAGAGAAAGACCTCTCTCACATCAAATCCAACAGGTAATAATTTCACCCTCGATTGGGTTTGCTGTCGATTGCACTCAAGTGACGTCTGTTTGAGCTGGTCACATAAGCCACATTTTATTTAACACATCAGAAGAGCTTTCACACTGCCAAACTGAAATTTTCAGGACCTGCTTTTTCTAGCATAGAATGATCTGTATATTCTGCATAGGTTTTTATTATGACAGGATAACTTCCTCTTCCAGGGAGCAATGTGGTTGAACTAATCCATAGTCCAGATTCTTCCAATGTGTATTTTTAGCTTTTTATTTTATAACAACTTGGAAGTGAGCAACACAATCCTTATTTGTTCAGCGTGATCGGGTAACGACATAATCTGTGGACTCATATGCTCTTCAGAGATCATTTTGTCGTTTCCATAAGTGCAATAAAATGTTGTTTGCCAAGAGCTCTGAGAGTCAGATGCGTGTCTCTCCTCCCAGGTCAGGGAGCTGCTGCGGGAGGCGATGAAGAGAGTGGTGCAGACCATCACCAACTCCAGAGACCGAACCGAGCAGATACTGAGCGACAGGCAGGACCTCACTCAGCACCAGTGCTACAAGACGGCAGCAGAGCACTTCAAGCACAACTGCTTCAACTGGCACACACCGAAGGTAGGCTCTCTCCGATTCTGCTGTCGTCGAGCCTGAGGTGGTACTGTCCCCTTTCCTGGAGATGAGATGTGTCCCCCTGGCCTTTACCGATCATGGCCTCCTAATAATCCCCATCTATGAATTGGCTGCATCACTCTGCTCTCCTCCCCACTGGTATCTGACGTGTGGTGAGCGTATTGGCGCACTATAGCTGCCATCGCATCATCCAGGTGGGGGCTACACAATGGTCCCCGTTACCTGTAAAGCGCTTTGAGTGGAGTGTCCAGAAAAGCACTATAAGTTTAAGGTATTATTATTATTATTATTATTATTATTTTACAGTCATGGAAAACGAAATAGGTGAATTCAAACTGGAGTATATATTTTTTTAAAAAAATCAGTAGTGTATCTGTTGGTACATTTTAAAATGAATAATGCACCTATTACTGCTCTGTATTCTATTCATATTTGCTTGCAAGGTGACAGTTGACTTTCTACCAGGGGTGCCTTTCTCTTAAACCTCCTTAATGGGGACTGGAAAACAGAGACATTAAGTGGGGGATTATTTTCTATGATGGGGACCCGGAGGACGTAAATATTTACTGGAGGACATATTTCTTGATATGAATAGGTGTGTAATAGGGACCAGGTCATGAAAGTAGTAGTGTACAGTACATCCACATTTTCTGTGAGTAAACAGAACATTCACATTAAACTTAACTTAAATAATTTAAACATATAGAGTATAGCATATATACTAAGATGAAAGCAACAACAAAATACTTTTTTGTAACTTTTATGTACAGTATAAAATTACATAACATTACATTAAGAACAGTGAATAATGTATGATAAATAAGGACATTTAATACTGTATATAATGTATGATAAATAAGGACATTTAATACTGTATATAATGTACTGTAATATACTGCTTATTTTTACTTTCTAGCAATGCAGTGTGCTCGCATCTTGACATTTCACCGAACCTCTTTGTTAGGCTGCTTTGCATTCAGAAGACAAAGTCTAGACGTGGAAAAAGTGTAAAACATACATGAACATCTGAAACAGTAATAACATTTTACAATAATATATCTATAATGATGTGTATCTAAAACAAAGCTATTTTGCAATGATTTTACTAGAAGTTTACTGTTTTTTATACTCTGGACTGTTTTATGATCAAGTTGATGTCCTTTGTCCATATAAAGTCAGGAAATGTTTACTTCTAAGTTGACAAAAACAGTGGTGTAAAAGAGGGGAGACATGAGGCACAAAATGTAAAAGTGTTAAACAGACCTAAAATTCTGTAAAAGTGGAAGAGTCCCAGCACAAGTCAGAAGAGCCACACAAATTATAGGTAATTACTGAGATAAGAACACATCGCATTTCAGAAGGAGTCTCTATGTAAATCAGGTTAAGCTGTAAAGTGTTGAATTTGGCTATAACAATTCTGTGTTGGTTGTAGACCACTTCCGATAATGCCATTTCATTGATATTGATCTAATTTATAGTTAACTAATCAATATATTAGTTCAGGTGGGTAGCTGCATCAGCATGCGTAGGCTGCATAGGAACAAGTAATAGGTTTATTCCATGCTGAAAAAAAGAAGAGAGAAAAAACACGTTTCGTCCATGGAGCCTTCTTCACCTGAAGAAGGCTCCACGGCCGAAACGTTGTGTTTTTTCTCTAACCTATTACTTGTTCCTATTACTTGTTCCTTTGTAATAGTAAACCTATTACTTGTTCCTAATCAACATACTGATTAGTATTGATCACACCTGAAGAAGGCTCCACAGCCAAAACATGTTTTCTTTCTTCTTTTTTTCAGCATGGAATAAACCTATTACTTGTTCCTTTGCAGCTGACGCAGCTACCCACCTGAACTAATCAATATATCGATGACTGGATAATGTTTCAAATAATGAGTCATTTTATAGTCATTTAATTAATCCATATAATCAGTTAAATGAAACATAAAGCAGGTATTAGAGTAGAATTATATTGTACTTCATTGAAAGAAGCTCTTATTTATTTAAAAAAGCAGAAATGAAAGAAGCCCAGAATAGGGTAATTTTAGTTTTGACAAAGAACTTAATAATAGATAGCGTACATAAATAGATTAACCATTTCTTACCCTAAACAACACCATTTCCACAGCCAACACTAAGAGCACATAGTTGGATTAAAAGTAATTTGAGACGTGTTTAGCCATTCCCTGTTTCATGTCTGAAAATGAAATGCAAATGAAAAAGACTGCCATTCTTCATGTTTATTGTCAAATGCAGCACCTCGATATTGATGTGTGAAAGGAGCAACACAATAAAGTTTATTGAGCAGAAGAGCCGTGCTGCACATGTAGCTGTTGATGCTGTGTCAACAAACAAATTGAGTTTTTCAGGAAGAAAGGGTTAAATGGTTAAATCCCCTCACCATTCGAAAATGACTATTTCAGTCTGTGCTTTCTGTTTCATTTCCACTTTGCCATGTGACCAGTGGCATGTAGGAGTACCCCTCGCTGGATCATGATGAAGATCAACACAGTGTATCAACAGATGGGGGGAAATGATCACATTACCAGACCAGTTTCCAAATTTCTGATTAGCATAGACAGGCAAGGAATAACTTCCTGTAGTGCCCCAGCTGGGACTCCGTAATTGAAATGGAAGGAATATTTGTTGATCAAGCATGACTCGGCTTGCAATAAATGAACCAAGACCTGCAAAAAAGTCACTTTCAGCCTCGAGACGCCAATAGCGGTCTCGTTTCTTAAAGTGTAATTCTGTGTACAGCTGGTTTGTTGGAGGCTCTCCCTCTTGCATACATCATTTACAGGCCTCCTTCATTACACTGGTGTGTGTTGGAGAGGTCCTGAAATCAGTGATAGGATAGGGGTGGCGTTAAGTAGCGTAGTATAGACTAACTTGTGCAAAAGTGTTAGGTGAAAACAATAGCATCATTATAACATGCAAGTTGCTTTATAAGAAGGGAGAGATGTAAAAAGCAACTGCTGTTTGTAAATCCACCCTTGTTTCTCCCAGCCTCCTTACTGGTAATCTGCAAGTGAGGGGAAGCCAGTCAGAAGGAAGGGGAAATCCTAGATCATCTTCATGTGTCATTTAGGATTAACCAAACGAACATGCGGGAGTTTTTCAAAACTAAAATACCCACCTGCTCTGGTTTCTTTTCTGTTTCAGTATGAGTACGCCCTCAGACATCTCTATGTTCTTGTGAACCTGTGTGAAGAAGGATTTGCAGTGGACAGGTATGGTCCTATCTGGCTGTGGTTTGTTTCATGATCCTTTGAAGGCTAAAATATAATGAACATAGAGGCTGAAAACCCAAAGAGTGTGCAGACACGTTGTGAAGACTAGATTTTTATTTTACACTAGAAGGGTTATGCTGCAGTCTTTGGCAGCATAGGGAGCTGGACCCCGATCAGAACCATCATTTCGGTCATGCCTCCAAGCTCCTGATCTGCACGGCCCAGATAAGAGCCAAACAACTTATGCGCATTGGTCTTGGAGCAGTCCACTTTCACAGGAGCTTTCAGTGGTGTGGTGTCGCTGTAACCGGGTCGCTAGTTTTGCATTGCCATACAGTATTTCTAAACATGGCTCTGGGCCTGTGATGACAAACAGAAGAGAATGTCCTTTAGTATAATAGAACCCTTGGCACACAGAACATTACCAACGTGTGTTAGTTTGAAACGTGCTGGGATATGCTGGCCTCGCTATCCACTTGCAGAGAGGTAAACAGCTGTTCCCTTGGGGCTGACACATGGGGAACAGACTGAGCCCCCTGAAGTTAGTCACGTGTCATGTAGGGACTACCTGACTCTTATCAGGAACAAACTCCAAAGTGGGCTTCCCCGTGCAGTGGCGCAGGATAATCAACAGGGAGATTTGGGCAGAATGACCTTCAGCTGCCCCGATTTGGGCAGAATGACCCTTAGCTGCCCTTGCAGAATTTGCCAAGGCAACTGTTTTTCCATAAAAGTTTGCAGTTTTCCATAAGAGCCACATCACTCCTCCAATCTATACTAACTCTGCTGCATGTTTGCAAAAGGCATGTAGTTCTCACAGAGTTAGTTTTGGGGCAAATAATAATTCCTTGCATTTTAATAAGATTAGTCCCGAGTCCTCCCCTACAGAAGTGCAGCCCTTCTGCACACAGATCAGGAGGAGAAGTGAGAAAGTGTTGTATTAAGTGAATTGAGGGGTACTTTAGGGGCGCCAGACTGCATAAGTCCAGAGGAGAATTGAGCCAGGACACCAGCTCATTTATATCATACAGTATATCATCTGAAGGACAGCGCGTTATGCACCACAGTGTCCTCTGTCGCCAAACTGAGGCATTGTTCTTCTGGAAAATCTCCAGAGTGAAGAGCGCCACCTACTGATCTAATAAGACCACTTTCAGCAGCAGCCTTTTTTTCTTGTCATTATACCCCTTGTCATGCTGGTCTGAAAGAGCTGAGATTGTGATCCAAGCTCATTTATTTCCCTGATGCCAAGCATCCACAGGGTGTGTCTATTCTAAATTGATTCAAAGCAAAGAAAAACAAGATCATTTTTCAATATGTGGAACATGCCTTCAATACTGCATGTGTGTAATATTACTTGTTTGCCTCTGATCACGTGTGTATGGTTGCCTTTCAGGATTCAGATGGCCATGGATGAGGTGTGCTTCTTCAGATTGTAGTTCAAGTCTGAACAGTGAAGACCTGCAGGGAAGATCACACTGAGGAACTGTCCCAAGAAATTAGCTGTTTTGTTTTAATCATAACAACATATATGTTAGATATATTTCATCTTTTTTTAATTCAAATGATAAATTTGCACTACTTCACAAGAAAACAAAAAAAATGTTTCTTTACAGTACCAAACATGTTATATCTTGTTGATTTAAACCAAAATAATTTCATTGTTGTAAGTGGATCATACATAACCTGAAAAGGGAGAGGAAATGCTTCCCAGGGGGATTAAAAATAATGGAGTCTACAGCAAGTGCAGTTTTGTGCTGCAGAATATCCATTTGGGAATGTGTCCTCCAGGGATACAAAGTGTGTGCTCTGGGACTGAGTGTGGATGACTCTTGTCAGAGATTATTTGACACTATTACAGTAATGTGACATAGAGTAAACTTATTAAAGAAAAATGCACTGATTTTCTTATATCTAGGACAAGTGTCTTTTGCTGTTAACTAGAACTACATGAAAACAAATAGCCCTACTGGCTTTAGAATCCCTAAAGTTTACAGCAGTTGATACTAGGTTCAGGCCAGCACTGTTTCACAAATCCTTACAGCCTGCATATGAACTGACAGTAGAGTTGGTGGGAATGCATGTCAAGAATTACGTTTTAAAGTGCAATTACACAGATCTTCTGATGTTTAAAGGCATTGTTTCAAAAGACAAAATGGAACACATTCTGTGAAAGATCAGCCGGTTGTTGATAATCAATAAAGAAAAAGTGAAACCAATAAAAAAAGGATGCTTTTTGTTATTGTACCTCTTCCTTGCCTCTGCAGTTTACTTGGGAGTGAGGAGCTGCCCTGTGGATTTTTAAAAATATATATTCTCATTGTGAAAAGGCAACAGAGAACAGGTGAGGAGATGGTAAATCGCAAGGGTTTGGAAGGAAAGAGATTCATTGTGACTAATGGACCGGAGCAGCAGCTCGAAAGAGGAAGTGATCTGTTTTTGACAAACATCTGTTTTCCTTCTGAGCAAAATGCAGAAGAAAACCACACAAGAGGGAAGAGGCTTGGCTGTAAATGCGTAGAATCATGAGTGGTCTTAGAGTGTGTCTTCCCACACCTGCTAACGCAATCTCCAGTTCCTTCTTTTTCCCCCTTCAGAAGTGGTGTCCATCACTCAGTTGAACTGTAGCTCATGTTATAACATCACTTTATTAACCCTATACAATTTCTTGCATAAGGAATTTGTCTTTTCGCATACCCCAGGTTGCTCTCCATGAGAGGCACAGACAGGGGTGCTGCCATTGTACAGCACCCCTGGAGCAGTTGGGGTTAAGGGCCTTGCTCAGGGGCCCAACGAAGATTCCCCTGGCAGCCGTGGGATTTGAACTGGCAACCTTCCAGCCAGATCCTTAGCCATAGAGCCACCGCTCCACCCCAAACAGTTATATACTGTACTTATACAAGAAACTCAGGGGAGGTTTTGAAATTGGCCTGAGCCTTTATTTTTTTTCCAGCATTACCTTCTTATTTTCCAGTTTTAAAAAAAGATTATGTATTTGGAAACAAACTCGCGTGAAAGAGCTGCAGTGGCTGGCCGGCATGACTTGTGCATCGGAATAATAAAAACGTGCCCACACTTTCTCTCAAACCTACCACCACATTTGATGTTCTTCTTTTCAGACTGTGATCTCACATCAGTGGGGAGAGGTGGTTCAGACTGGGGGGTAGGGCAGGAACAGGTCTTCTCGGTCATGCTGAAATCTCATTGGGGGGCTTCTGACCAATGTCCCACAACCCCTAGGTGAGTTCCTGTACCACGTGCTACAGTCTTGGTGAGATTGGAGCCATCAGTGTTCAGTCAGTTCATCACCAGCCTGCATTCTAGTTCTTAAAGAATGACCCAGACAAGAGGTCTTTAATTAGAACTTGAATTATTATCAGTTCATGGAAAATTGATCATTTTCAGCCGCTTACACAAATTGTACTGATAACTTCAAATCTCAAAATGTCAAAGAGCTGAAGGATCGTTAATTCAATTTAATCACTGCTTGGGTGCACTACAGTGAACTGAGACCTGTGACAGCAGGCACAAGGAATGCTGACAAATTTAAAGAATGAGAGGTAGTGAAATAACCATAGACGAGTGATATCAACCAGATTCCATATTGCCTTTCCAGAATAAAAAGAAAATGGCCTCATCATTGGTTTGATGAGAAAGCAGATCACAAAGTAAAAGAGAAGGGTTTGATTTTCATTTCAGGAACCCAAGGTTCATTAACTCAGCACAGCCTTTGAACTCAGATCACATGCGCGATCGTGTGTGATTATGGTGTATTACACATGAAAGATGTTTTTTAAAGGCCACAAGTCAGTGATGTCACTTGTATTTGGTGTGTTTTTTCTACAATGTGCAGTATTTTGTGCCCATTAAGTAAATGTGGAAAATAATTGTGTTCTCAGGGAATCAAAGTGCAACATGCAACAGATGAAAATGTCACGGACGTCCAAAGGGACTAACCCTGGGGAGCAGGAGAGCGGAAAAAGACCCATATGCGTAGCGGCAAGACGGGAAAAAGGCCCGGGCTCATTAGTGCAAAGAGTTCAGGAATGCCGTATAGAAACCTATGCCCTCAGAGAGCGGACGTGGGGCGCCCTGGTGCTAGGCGGGTCTCAGGACATCCGAACGTCAATGCTGAGTGAGGACAGAGTGCAAGACCCGGCAATATATAGCCCAAGGAAGAGAGGGACAGGAAGGACAGAAGACCGGAAACTAGGGACAGGGCAGAGAAGGAGCACCCTCTGGCTGCAGAGGGCGTGACAGAAAATCCATTTATAGTATATAGTAAGACAAAAATCCACTAATACAGTAAGACAAAATGAAGTCATTATTAAGTTTTAGAAAAGAAGGTGATACAATATTTCTATTTGGGGTGCTATCTGCATGGAGTTTGTATGTTCTCCCCATGTTCAGGTGGGTTTTCCAAGTGAAATAGACCCTGGGCGGAGTCAGAGGGAGAGAGAAAACAACTGAATTCCAAAGGCGACCGTTATCCAAATCGTCAGGCGAGAGCGAGGTCGGAGATCGGGAGCAAAGGGTCAGAAATCCAGAGGGTCACAGGAAAAAACAAGAGGTCGGACTAAGTTGCAAACTGGATGCGTAGCTCTGGCTAAGGAAACCTCAGTAGTGAACGAGGACAAGCCGCAGGGTGGGAGTTTAAATAGGCAAGGGGAGTGAAGTTAATTCGTGAATGATCGGGTGCTCGGGGGAATGCGACGGTGTCTGCGTGTCTGCGTGCCTGCGTGCGGCTTGTGACATTTTCTCCAAGTCCTCTGGTTTGCTCCCACAGTCTGAAGATATACTGGTAGGTTCACTGGCTTCTGGGAAAATTTACCCTGATGTGAGTGAGTGTGATTGTGTCTGTCTGTCTTGTGATGGACTGGGGTCCAAACCAGGGTGTGTCCCATATGTGGGAAAGGCTCTGGCTCTTCTGCAACCCATTAGAAAATTGATGGATATTTCTATTTCTTAAATTCTGGACAGTAAAACTACAATGTTATTTATGCAAAACCCAATGTACAGCTCAATTTTTTAAGGAGCACAGTGGCTTTTGTAAAACCTACATTTTGTTATTTTGAGCTAGAGAGGTCTTGAGACTTTTACTGGCTTCCAATAACAGATAACAGAATAACAGAAGATGTGATAAACTTCAAATGCCTGTTGTTTATGAAAAGAAGTCCACAGGGCAAAGTCAAGCATATGTTCCTTTACAACCATGTGTACCTCCATAAATGCTGGTCAGAAGAGATTCCTGACCACAGACTTCGTGACTTGAAGAATCTTCTTCTGTCGCAAACATTAATGTAGATGTAATGGCAGAGAACTGCTGTTCAAGTAAATTTATCTCAAAGAATAAAAGTGCAATAGACAGCTTTCTGTGGCTACAAATGATTCTGACAATAAAGCATTAATTCTGAAGCTGTGAAAATTAAAACGCACTAATTGGTCAAAAGTGTAGTTGACCCAGTAAAGACATTCCTGTGAATGAGAACAAACCCTATGGCCTTGGGCTTCACTGGTGAGGAGCTTAGCCAATGTCATTATCCAGCCAAGCAGCAAAGATTACTTTCTTCATTTAATGTAGCATTTTGCTGTACCCTCGATTTAGATTTGTTAATGTTTTCCTATAGGTAGCCTTAACACAGAGAAAAATACAAAACGCCAAGAACAAAAGGGGGTTGCGCAATAGCTTGGCCTGACGCAGATTGGTCATGCACAAGACTGAAACTAGGTACAAGGCGTGCATGAGCGCTCCGGACAATTTGCACAATCTTTTTGAAAGCGCAGGGTTGGGTTTTGTTTCTAAATCGCACGGTTTGGACAAAGCACATCCTCACAATGACCTTGGAGAAAACGAGAAAACTCCCTTTTAAGAGTTTTCGTGCGTTGCAATCACAAACTGCTGCACTTTGTGGTCTTCTAGAGGGCAAAGATAGTTATTACAGGCACCTCACTAGCCGTTTTCCAGCGAGATATTATTTGTCCCAGGACCGCGGGCGACAATATCGCCGGTACGGTCCCAAGCATCGACCCTATCGGGTCTGCGAAAGGTACGGGGTGTCAAGAGTGCCTTCTACAGAGTGAATTTTCTGAGAATCCCTGTCGCTAGCTATGAAAAACGTCAACAGAATTCTTGGGTTGAAGAATTTGAAACAAAAAAAATACAGTAGTCAGTTTAAACGACAGTTTACTGACTGATTCTCCTTTGGCTGCTAATTAAAACAAATTTCCCCTAGGGCACAATAAAGCTTGAATTGAAATTGAATTGAATTGAATTGAATTGAAATTGATTTATTTTATGCAACCTTTGTTCTTAAAATACTTAGCAAGTGTATTCGATTTTAACATTAGAAAGGGAAAATTAATCTCGTTCTTAAAGTAGGTTTTCAGCTTTAAAGTATTTTTTTTGCTTTTAAGTCATCTCCAAAACATTCTAGTTTAAAATGACATTAGACAACGCACTCTAGTGGAGAAACCTGCAAAAGTGGTAGACAATAATTTAAAGAGAAATGCACATTGTAAAACACGAATAAATCTGAACAGAAATCCTTATGGGAAACTAGGAAGGAATGCGCGATCTGATGTACTGAACTGTCCAACAAGAGTGAAGAATACTTATATCGTGTGCTGCTTGAAGATAACTTATTCTGAAAGTGATTCCTTGGCCTGTCTGTTGATTGATTGATGATTTGTTCAAAATGACCTAATTCTGAAATGAAATGATTGGTTCTTCATTACCTTCTGTAAATCGCATTAAACTTTTTATATGTAATATGGTGCATAAAGTCACTGATTATTCTAGAGAACATTACTCCTGTTTTTATGTAGCCACAGTACAGCTCTTGTCCTCAGATTGTATGGTCCTACCATACATGCTTGCTGGCATTTTTTTCCTATAGGCAATAATGAGGGCTGACATGGTGTGCAGTAGTGAGAATTGCTGCCACAAAGCACAGGGACTCGATGTTTAAGTTCCAGGATGCTATCTGCATCCTGTTTATATGTTCTCCCTGGATTCGCATGGGTTTCCTCTAAATACTTTAGTTTCCTCCCACTGGTGGGTTAATTGCCTTCTGGGAAAACTGGTCCTGATGTTAGTATGTGTGTGTGTGATTGTATCTGTGTGTGCACTTTGATGGACTGGTGTCCCATCCAAGGTGTATCCTGCCTTGCCCCTTGAGCTGGATAAAAGGGTTAGAAAATGGATAGATGAAAGCAGTAATGATTTAATAAAATAGTATTTTCAATGCAATTGTTCATTCTGCTTTAAACTTGTATCTCAAAACAAGTGTTAACTCTTAGGTCAGTGACCTGATTGAGGATTGCCAGGGTTCATGACCTGTTCTCATCTAAACAAGAGGACAGAAATAGAAACTCTGAGTGAAGAATGACAGAATGAAGAACAAGCCCAATTTCTTTACGCAAAGGGTTGCGGGAGTATGGAATGAGCTATTCATGTGTTGATACCAATAGCCTGGCTTTTTTCTTGTAATGGCTAAATGAGATCTTTGGATCAGTTAGCTAAATCAAACAAGCCTGATGGACTGAACTGTCTCCTGTGGTTTGTAACCTTTCTGATGGTCTTATGTTCTTGTGGTTGAACAGGAAATGTACTATTGTACTTCATCTGACAGTGTTTGTTGTGTTGAGACCTTAATGTTATAGCAAATGCAAATGCAAATCACAGCCTTTCGTTATAAAGAATGCATACATTTTCATGAACACTGCGAACTTGGGATAGTACTCAAGTATAAGCAAGAAAATAAAAAATTGCAATTCAACATTTGTGGCAGGAGGTCTTCATATTGGGCTAAAATAGTTTAACATTACTATGCTTTTAGAGGCAAACAGTAGGAATTATGATTATCCATTTTAACAATGGTAATAATAATACATTTAACTGACAATGCCCAGACAGAAGTTGGGCTAACCTTTCAAAGGAATCAAAACCTCAGCTGTATTTTATTGACTTAAAGAAAAACAATCTTCTGAATGAAATCTGAAATCTGAATGAAAAGACTGGCCAGACCAAAGGTAAGGTAAGCTACAATTTTGGTACTCAAAGAGGTGTATAATCTTGAATGTATAGATGGCAGCAGTGAGTTGTAAATAGGTCTTATAAAGTGGAAAACAGATTAATGTGGAAATCAATCAGTGTTAAGGGCAAAGGACTATCTGGTCATAGTGATGAGTCCCATGTTGTATTAGCACAGTACGTAAAATATTTTGTGTTCCAAATCTTTGGGGCATTGGAACTTTTATATTGAAAATACTTTTAATTTATAGCATGATGTCTAAGATACAATTTGATGGTTTCCTGAGGATGGGAGCCTCAATTTATGTGAGCACCCACAAATTAATAGAGGACAGATGGTGTGCTGCTGTTAAACAAGCATAAAGGACATAATTGTAATTAGTGTTTTTGGATAAACAACTCTCAGAAAAGGCAGAGTGAAAAATAAATGTACTGTACCTCATAACCACAAGCTAAAGGTCAATACATGGCACAGTTATGTGAGCCTTTGTACAACCAGACAGCACTACAAAAGGTGCTCACACTAAATTAGAACGATAAATCCCTAGACAGGGAAAAACACGTGCAAATAACAGATCTCAGCTTGACTAATTTCTGGCTTTAAAAGTGTCTGTGTGAGGGAGGTTGTCCTGTTAGAGTTAAATTTAATGTGTTTGTTAAATTTAGTAACTAATTGCCTTTGAAAACTTTGAAAAAAGAGAAACAGCGCTGAAATTGACTCAGAGCAGTGCAAATGGGAATGAGGAATTACTTTCCATGTTAAAAATAATATGTTAAAGGGGAGTGAGTCACAATTCCCTCAAGCTTGAAAACCTCAGAGCACTTATTTTTCACCACAGGTCTCATAAAGAAAATAGGATAGAGTATTATCTCAGACTGTCCTTTTTAAAATATATTACAGATATTTTCATGGTTTTAAACAAAATTAGATGTATGTATGTTGCGTGTCGTTATAGTCACGATCAATGAAGTCCAGAACATAGCTTCATAGTTATTCCTCTTCATCTCCATTCAGGAGTAATGAAATGCAAATTAACAAGGTTGCAAGGAATACACATCTGCAAGCAAGTGTTAATATTTAATATGAATCTGTCGTGATAACCTGGAGTAAGGCGAAATATACGTCCCAAGCCTGCTTTGTTATTTTAACATACTGCATTAAAATATTGAAAATACAACACATTTACTACAATTTGCCACCAACGAATTAATTTCCCACAATCCTTCGCGTGCAGCGTGTCGGAAGTAGTTCCGTAAACAAGGAGCCCCGTGGAAACCGATCGGCATTTCCGGTGTGTTGTCACAGCCCAGGCCTGCCTGATTGCTCAGCACCGAATAGGAAGGGTTCGGGGAGGAGCGCTGGTAGGGGCAGCGGTAACGTGTATTCTACTGTGTGCTTTGACTTTCATCTTAGACGCTCTCATACTGAGCATAAAGGCGCTGGAAGGGGCACCTTCTCTGAGTAGTCTGTCAAGGGCTGTTGAGCACAAAGTTCGGGAGCCCAGCCGAGCAACGGAGAAACACCGGAATACGGTCGCGCCACTCCAGTAAAATGGGATCTAGAGCTTCGACATTGCTGAGGGAGGAAGAGATTGAAGAGATAAAGAAGGAGACGGGCTGTAAGTAGCGTCGGATTGGAGGAAAAGTGCATTCCGCTGACTAGTCTTGTCATTCTCGGTGCCGTGTGCGAGATCCCCAGTTTGTGATGGGAGTTACCCGGGGAATGCTCCTAAATTAGAGTTGGGGTCCGACACATGGTACACTCGCCGTAGACTTAAAAAACCATTCACCACATACCTGTTTGTATTATTTTAGATAGTAACTCCGTACTAACGTAGAGTATGGTGGATTGGTGCTTTTCTACAAAGAGGTAAAGTACGCGTTGCTTTTGTAGTTACGGCAAGAACGTAGTGTTTGCAGCATTTACAGCTGGTCACGATCTGTCACGGTGCTGATCGATCTACAGGTTATCTCTGTTAAACGGAAAAGCTGTTAATGTCGGTTTACCGATGCTTCACTATTTAATTGAGTATCCCCATTTGCTATTTTAAAAGTAAGAATGTCGCTGCTGAAAATTTTAGTTTAGCTAGCAGACGCAATGATCCCAGGTGATTTACAATCGCTGAGTTGTATAAGTAAAAGAAACTAGTTGATGTAATAGTAACGATACAATGGCTAGTACAAGGTAATAAACTATCCAGTTAGAAGTCACTAAAGGCATTACAGGCTCATAATTAACAGTATGAGCAGATGGTTAGCTAACCACGTTAAATATAGATTATGGATTCGTTTAAATATCTTGACTGAGTTTTGGGAATTTTTGGTCTACATGAAAACACTTCCACAGTCATCGCATGTTACTACATTACATTGGTCGACGTGGGAAGGCTTTGAAAAGATTTGCAGTTAAGCACTGCCCTAGGATGAAGTATATTTATACTTGTTTTCACAGTTCTGTTCTCTGAGACCTTGCTAGGTTCCTCCCCGGGTGCCCTCTCTCTTCAGAGGACAGACAGTCCCACACACTGATGTTAGTGTTTAGTTTGCTGCTGTTTTTGGTAAATAAAGTACTGCTTTAAAAATGCTGTAGTGTGTTGTGGAAACTGAACAATGCTCGATGGCTAATCTTGCTTAACCCCCGAACTGGACTGAATGCAAGAGGGATATGAAAACTTAGCACATCTCTGTTAATGCCTTGAGAGCTACTGACCACTTGCTTTAACAGTTATAATCTTGACTGGGTACAGGGTTAAGGTTTCAAGTCTGTACACAAATTAGGGTGTTCCAAGAAATCAGAGTTATGCAGGTGTGGCTCTTGTTAATGTGTATGTGTACACAATAAATTACAAGCCTCTTTGACCGAGTCAGAGGTGTCAAGGTGACACTGCATTAGTGGGAGAGCACGAGAGCACAGACATTTTGGCACAGTGAGTCTGTCTGGATCTGACGCTGAACACTTTTTCTTCTATATGTTAATGATCATATTGAATAATTGGTCCTTCCATTTATATTTATACTTCCGACGTGTGTATGTTTGTTTTTAAGACCTGGGTTACATATTATTATTCATTACAGAGAAATATGTCAGTCAAGACATTTGTGGGTAGAAGTCTTTCTAAATACCAATCAGTTTACCATCTACAGCAGCGATCTCCAACCTCGGTCCTGGCAGACCCCGTATCCGGAAGGCTTTCTATGTCACCATTAATTCACCGGTTTCTAAAGCTATGGAACAATTCCATTGTGATCAGTTAAACAAGAGATTTGTCGGATTAAGTTTCAAGATAATTTAGGAGTAAAAGCCGAGTGCTGGGCTCTTCAGCCCTCAAGCATCAGAATCCTCTTAATTGCCCAGACTCTACTTGCTTGATTCATTGATAGCATACAGGTGTTGCAGATCTTTAAAAACAGGTGATCTATAAGACTAACTGCATTGGGATTCTCCCAGACCAGGTCTGTAGACTCCAGAGCTAAAGAATCGTTTAATCACGGGTGTCCAGTCCTGGTCCTGGAGGACTGGTGTATCTGCAGGATTATAAATCTCTTTAATAGCAATGGCACCTGAGCAGCAGGGAGAAGCTGTTTGGTGTCCAGTTATGCCAGTGCCCACCTGAGTCAGCTCTTAAAGAGCTGAGTTGCAATAAAAACCTGGCCCTTGGGCATACTGGCTCTCCAGGACCCTGACTGGATAGCCCTGCAGTAAATTATGTTCTTTGGATTGGGACTATAGATAAGATCACTTTATTGGCCATGTACAATTTCTTGCATTAGGAATTTGGATTTTTGCATACCCCAGCTCACTCTCCATGTGAATCACAGACAGGGAGAGAAGCTTGGGGTCAGAGTGCAGGATCAGCCATTTATATGGCACCCCTGGAGCAGCTGGGGGTTAAGGGCCTTGCTCAGGGGCCCAACGGAGTAGGATTCCTCTGGCGGCCATGGGATTTGAACCGGCAGCCACAGGCGCAGATCCTTAGCCACAGTGCCATAGCTCCGCCCACATTTTTTTTAAAGATAATAATAATATATTAATATTAATAACTTACACTTATATAGCGCTTGTCTAGACACTCCACTCAAAGCGCTTTACAGGTAATGGGGACTCCCCTCCACCACCACCAATGTGCAGCCCACACCTGGATGATGCGACGGCAGCCATAGTGCGCCAGAACGCTCACCACA